TATATGGATAGTTAACAGAAAAATGTATCATCTACAGTGAACAGCAGTATGTCTAATGCCCTTGCACGTTTGCCGGGAAGAACTTTATCAGTACTTACCATTAGACAACTACATTATTTCTAATTTAGAGATTAAATTTTAAAAGGGGGTTAAATAATAAAGACATAATAGTTAGTCTACTATAAAGCGACCGATTAATACATCAAGAATTATGAAATAAAATGACGGGCTTTATACAAAAACTTAGAATGTATACAGAGAGCATGACAAATCACGAGCAAGCAGCACCCGAAAGTAAAGATAATATAGTAGTAGCTCACTAAACACTTTATCTTAAAATTGAAATTTAACAAATAATATGACAGGATTTCAATCACTAAGAAAAGAAGTGTTTATTTAGTCATGCACACAAATACAAATGAAAAGCGTATGGAAATGTCAAACTCACCTAAAAGAGGAGCCTTTAGAAACAACACGACTTTTTCGGCCGACATTTCTAACAGCTTGGCATCGGAAAAATGAATGATGTTCAATGCACTGTTTCCAAAAGCTTTTACATTCATTTCGTGTGCTAAACGAGAATCCAATAGCATCCTAAAATAATATATGAAATTGCATACATATATTTAATTTAATTATTCAAAGAATTATTTGAAAAAATAGGTGTTTATGAAATCTAAAGACCTGCGCAGATTAAATGACGGTTATTCTGTGTCTAACTACGTGAGCTGCTGAGGAACGGAAAGAAACACCTGAAAATTGAATTTTAGATTTTCCAGTCGATTGACTGAACCGAAGTGCTCGGTCTCAGGTTGACATGTCGGGCACTGGGTTCGAGCCTCGGTGGGAACATCATCACTCATTGAGAAATGCAGGTACATCCAGATGACGAGTCCCACATAGGACGAAATGCCCATCTGGATTCCACTGCTAGTCACCATCCACCAAATAAACATCTGAAAAAGTTATCTATAAATTTAATGCACTACAGTGTTAACTCATGAATCATTTCCTTACTGAACTAAAAGTACATAAAGCTTGCCTTCATCATTTGCTTTCAAGCTTTATCTCATCTAATCACTGAATGTCACGAATATTATCTAAGATTTAAACTTGAGTAAGTAATAAATTTTCTAAAAAGGTAAATACTTTGAATTTTCCATAATTTCAAAGTATTTTATCAGTTGCTCAGCTTTTTCCATAACTCTTATTTTCCAAGTGGGGAACAATTAACAATGTATACAGTTCTTATACACTCTTCATCATATTCTTGCCTTAATGGCTAATTAACTAACTGATGTTATTGAGAGATGGCTGACATGAAAAAGATCATACGAAGAGAAAATCAAAGCCTGTGGGAGGTTGAGGAATCAGTTAAAAGTGATGTCAAAGAGCTGAGCTGCTTAAGACCTTTATTCCACTCCTGATAAATTAATCAGGAGGTATATAGGAAAATGTAGAAACAAAATCAATAATAATTTAGTGATAGTGATAAAATTAATGACGAAATGCATGTCAAACGTGTACAGGATAATGACAACACTAACAACAGGGAATTTAAATCATCACTAGTACTTCCATAAAAAAGAAGGAGCCTCAGAAACGTTATGGAGAATTCTTAACAATGCAGGCAGGAATAAAGGTGGCATTCAAGTCCACAAACTCAGTTAGCAACAAGCTTTGTCGGTTAAATGATCAATCCTGTGGAGCCAATTAAACAAAACAATTTAGTTTATCTAATACTCTGCCTGAATTGACTGTCAGGTCAAATACACAGGTCAAAGTAGTAGAACGGGGTCAGTCAGTTAGACTAGCGGAGCCGAAAACCTAGCAAAATCTAGATTAAAACAAGCAAAAGACGTTGTTGCTTGTTCTAAATTCGTACTGGGAAACAGATGTTTTCAGAATCTAGATTATTTGACCCGAATAAGATAAGAAATCTGGGGAATAGTTCAGCTATACCACTCACTACATGCAGTTACACACAGCCATACAATAGGATGGGATAAGACGACAGTTTTAAAATCTAATGTAACAGGTTGGAGGCTGAGATTGATAATAGAAGCTTTATTTATCGAATCAACTGAGAGGGAATACGTGTAATAGGAATGATTGAACACCTGTCCCAGACATTTGGAAAATTCTACTACCCCTACGACAAATAGGAGAATAAAAAGAAAACTATAAAACTCAAGTTTTGAAGTCATGTGATTATAATTGGTATGATCATGGACAATAAATTGTGTTTGAAACCTTGTCATCCATTAAATAATACTTTTTCTTCACTGTGTGATATATCTAATAAACAAATTAATGTGAAAGTAAAACAGAATAAATATTTTGAGGGTAGATAATCCAGTGAGTGGACATTATTACGTTTTGTTCATCATTAACTAAAATCACTTATTCATATCATGATATTTAATATTGGGTTGACATTAAGTTATGTCATGTGAAACAAACCATTACAACATCACTATATTTTAGTGAATTGATATGATAAATAGTGATAACATGAGTATAACTTAACTTTCTGGTAACCAAAATGCATCTCATTAAGTATATGAGAGGAATTAAAGCGACTACAAAGGTGTGCTGCTTCTAAGATTTGACTGCATTCTCGAAAGAAAGAGAGAACAAATATGCGGCTTTGAAAGTAAGACGGGTAAAGCATTTTTGCCTTCTACATATATATATCACTCTCATATGTTCCTTTTGTACGTTTTCTCACCCTCTTCACACTTGTTAAATGGATTCTCAAATAGCTCTTCTCCTCATTCACTAACAATTTTAAACTTATCACATTTCTAACCCTTTCTTCCTTAGTACCGTTGAGTACTACGTAATTCACGACTTCTATTTTTACTTATAGAGGCACATCTGAGTAATTACATCGACTATGTCACCACTCTATAACTCAGTAGTGGGCTGCTGTACAGTTTTGTTAAATATAAATACATCTGTACAGTCTCTGAAGATGATTTCACCGATAATGAATATTTTATTCGCTGAATTGTCTTTTATATCGGATGTTTTTATTTCTTTTAATCAAATCTAAAGAGTTAGTAAAAGCTTCTTCAGTGCAAATTAGTCATCAATCACTATAAAAATGTCCTCGCAAATAGTTCATTAAGAAGATACACAAAAGCAATGAACCTTTTCTGAATAACTATTTAAATTATATTGATGTGAGGAATAAAATTTGTATCCACTTTTCTTTTAGCAGTAAAATCATGACAAAAAAATGAGATCGAAGTTACTTGTTAAAAAAAGAAAGCAATAACAGGCTTTGCAGTAAACCAAAATGTTTATATAAACTAGATTATGGCACATGAACCAAAGAATGATATTTCACAATACAGTTTAGCTGAAACCACATCATCAGTGTTTTTCATAGGGGATTTCTTTAACAGAGTAGGAAGAGTGTTTGTTTATTCCTTTACGTTCTCAGTGGAACATAGGGCTTTAAGCTGGAGCCTTGAACTTTCTGTAGCAGTGGTTGCTAGTCTCATGCCCAACCTTCCCTCTTTACTAGTCTTGTTACTAGACTAGCAAGTAAAGTAGTGCGTTGGCCGGTGATCGAACCTCGAACCACCTGTGTGGTTGGCGAGCATTCTACTTCCGTGCCACTGACTCTAGGAAGAGTGTACATAGTTTTTTTCCAACATTGGAATCTTTCTAAACTATACATCACTGAGTTAATAAAGAAACTTATTCGCATTTTCAGTATGAAATTTTTTCTATTAGGCTGAAAGCCGAACTGACAGTCACTTACCCACCCACCATCTCTTTCTTTCTTCTGCTTAAGATTCTGTTCATTTAGTGAAGAAACCTAAGCTGACTGAATGGTATTATTAGGCATGCAAAGTTTAATTAAAATTATTCTGCATAAATAGTTTTATTTTATCTTCGATACATACACAGTATGAGTTTAATTATTCAGTAGGAAAGACAATGTTGATGAATAAATAATTCATAGAGATAAATTTTGCGTTGTTAAGATAAAATGTTTTGACTAGAACTAGGGATAAATAATTTTTTTTCTGTCTGCTGACGTAATAGGAATTTCTAATTTATTTTATTATTATTTTGTTTTCCTTCACGTTCCCCAGAAGAACATAGGACTTCAAGCTAGTGGCTTGAAGTTTCTGTAGCAGTGCTTATTTTACAGGATGGGGTTTCTAGCCTCATGCCCAGCCTTCCCTCTTTACCAGTCGTATTACTGGCATAGCGAGGTAAAGGAGTTCGTCGGCCGAGGATCGAACCCCGGACCATGTGCATGGTCGGCGAGTGTTCAAACAGCTATGCCACCGACGCACTATTTCTAATAACACAAGCAAAATGATTGGTAGGATGTTTAACGTTTCATGAAGATTGTTTTTAAACATACTCATATCAGTTATAGGGGTTAGAAGTGGACCAGCAGAAAACAAAGAAATAGCAGCCTTAGTAAATTCAAGTCCGATCATGGATTGATGCCAGCTACAGAATTATTGAAAATTTCAGAGTACTGGACACCTGTTTCATCCTATTTTGGGACTCTTCATCATTGCGCATCAATGACAAAAATTTTATCTTGCAAAATGTTGTGGAGAATGTATGAAGCGAAAATGTTGAGCAGAGTTGATGTACAACAAAATTTCCATGATCTTTTTTTAAAGGCGTTTAGTTTTATTTCATAACATTCTTCGTATCTTTTAAATAAGCTTGATTTTTGGTTGATTTGTACTCGATTATAACTAAGTGTTATCACCTATTTTACTGTTAAAACAATACATTTTTTGTTGTTTTTCTTGAAACCACTGAATATTAATATTGATTCACTGCCTCTGTACACAAGAGACTGTATTGTATAAACTTAATTTTCAAAGTTAGCTTATTATTTTTACATTTCTTGAGGCAGTTTCTGTTTTTTATTTTCCGTTGATTCATTGAACTAAAATGTTTGGCTTCTGTTGATACATAAGCTCCTAGTACGGACGCTTGGACGATGTCTGAGGATTGGTAGTGATGTTATTCGGTGGATGCTGACTAGCAGTGGAATCCAGGGTGCGCATTTCATCCTCAATCAATCAACAAGAAAAACAAGTCGTAGCTGTCTTAGTCTAAGTGGTCTAGTAAGATAACGTTTTAGTCTTTTCAACGAAGGTTACTGGGTCCGAGTTTTGGTGGGGAAAACATCACTCACTGGGCGTTATAGGTACATTCATATGAACAGTCCCAAAGAAGATGAAGTAAGCATTCTGGATTCGACTGCTAGTTGCCAACCAAAAAATAGCCTAACTTTTGTTCACAATAATCCTTCAGTCATAATGTTACTTCCATAAATTTCGACAGTGAAATAAGCCAATCGATAACAAATAATAAAACAATTCCTTTGAACGTATGATCAGTATTCTACAATATACGTGTACACTTACTACAGACATGAAGAAGGATTTCTGTATACTGCTCATTATCATTGAAAAGGTTTTATCATCATACTTTATTCATAGTAATATCACTATTATAACAGGAAATGCAATTTTAGACACTTAAATTGCTTTATTTAAAAAACTACAAAACATTCACATATGTGAAATTAATTATATATATATATATATATATATATATAGTCAAATAATATCAATTTGTATTAGAGTGTTGGTTTGTGGGGATTTGATTGATTGGTTACAGGATTTCATTATGGGCTGATATCGGTTAGAGAACCATTGGAAAACCTAGGAGTACCGGACAGCTTTTTCGTCTTTGTTTGAGACAAACGCAGGATAGGCCATTTACAAGGTGGGCTAGCTCGTAAACCATTAAACCACTGAGACCCGATCCAACGGCCAGTTCATGAATTCCAAATTCTGCCAATCCACGATATGGCGCGACAACTAGCGAAAGTCATCCATGGCATTTATTTGTCCTCACACCCGACCTGCTGTACCCCACTGGTCACGACTTCCCACTAGAACCCAGGTAACTACCTACCTGAATAAGGACAGTCACTAGTGAGAATCTCATTGATATTCTAGTGGGAAGTCGTGACCAGTGGGATACAGAATGTCGAGCGTGAGGACAAATACTCGTCGGTGACATCCACTAGGGGTCGCGCTATGTGGTGAATTGGCAGAAGTTGGAATCCATGGATTGGTCATTGGATTGGATACCAGTGGCTTAGTGGTCTACAAACTGGCCTTATAACCAGAAGGTCTTGGGTTCGAGCCGGAGCGGTGGGTACGTGTTGATGAAGAGTACCAAACCAGAGTGAAGAAACAGATGTCGAGTACTCCCAGGTTTTCCAACGGTCTTCTAATCGATGTCAGCTCATGAATTAATACTGTAACCAATATCAATTTATTTCCTATTCTGATTTTTCAGATTAAGTTTGTTATAATGTCATAAGTGGAGGAGGTATATTTCATGAGTTTTTATCATTAATAAAAATACTCATTCATATAATAATATAATGTAATGTAATAATGCCTGTCTCTCGGTCGGTTGGTCGGTTTTCAACATTGAACTTTGCACATATGTGCGGCAGTTCAAGTCGCCACACTCCATTTACGACACAAAGCAAGAGAAGAAAGTAGAAGAAATGCATAATAATATAGACAGTAAACAGAGGTGTGAGACAAAGGAATAGTAATAACGGAGAACAAAACAGTTTAATTCGAAATCACAAGTCACAAGGAGTGGATGCATCTGCGCCACTGAGAACGATTTTGAGCCATATCACCAATTGTTTCCAACCATTGGTGTTTACCGTCCCGAGGACCCCAACCAGGAAGTCTACATCTCCCTACGTGACTTAGACTAACTGTTGTGGATTTCATTGACTGGTGCCATGTTTTCGTTTGACCGCCGGTAGCTGTTTTCCAGCCTGACCCTATATCGGCTAACATTGCCCATTGTCGAGGAAGGTGATGACTAGGCATACGTAGCACATGTCCTAACCATCTCAGTCGATGTAATTTCACAGCCTCGTCGACTGATTTCCCCTCTTTACCTAGCACTCGACGCCTAACCTCAATATTGCTCACCTTATTATACCACTTCACGCGGGAGATAGAACGCAGACACCTATGATCAAAGACAGCTAATCTTTTCATGTCTTCCACTCTCAATGGCCAGGTCTCACAGCCATAAAGGAGGACGGAGTGGACTGCTGAGCAGTACACATACCTGTCTCTACGAATTCCTCATCTAGTTATCTGATTTTATAAGAGCTTTATTTTCAAGCTGAAGGGAGGTTAGATTTTATTAGCGGAATAATTTATTTTTTTGCTTTTTCTCATGTGTTAAGCAATTTTTCTACAACATGTCAGGTTAATACACTTATACGTTCAACGGCTCTGCTTTAAGCCATTCAACTCGAAACTTAAGCTAAAGCATTCAGCTTCACAATCACAATTGTTTGCTGTGTTTTCTTTTTCCTACAGTTATTAACTAGTCAGTTGTTCGTCGTCACGGAAAACAGAACACAAATCCTTATTGGCTATTGTTCATAACAGTTAATTGCCTATAAGAAGTTCACAGTCAATACAAATATACAATTATGTATATCGAATATACTGAATAAATTCTGGTAAAAATGAATGAAAGAATTTTAAGGCCTTTTTTCATGGTCACTGATTATTTCGATCACTATTAGACTGAGTATAATTCGTCCATCAGTCAGAAAATGATAATTATATCTATCAGAATTGACCATAAAAGCTACTTATTAGTTAAATTAACCTTGAGTAGAGAAAATGTTCCCATCACTGTTCGAAAGTATTGAGATTATACAGAAAATAAGAGTAATTATACTTCTCCAATTATAGCTGACGTGCTAGTTGAAGACGTAAGATGAGTAATGAAAAAGCTACTTGAAAGCAGCAAGGCGGTCAAAATGCGGAAGGATAAAGAATATGAAATAACAGCTATAACACATAATAAATAGTCAAACCGATTACTTACAAAACTTATAAGCTTTTCATTACTATATATGTCCAAACCAAGTTCACTTTTAACAGTTTGAAAAAATTTGGGCATTGGGTATATGATATTCATTATAATAAAGTTTTTGTATTTCCCAATGAATGAAAAACAAAACGATATTGTTTTTACTGACGTTTCGCTATTTAATGCTAATAGCTTTATCAAAGTATTATTAAACCGGAATTTACAAAATCTCAGCATATATATAACAAAGAGTTAAGAGGTGAGAAAATAGACTTAGGTCAAGTTAAAAGGACATATTGAAAGTTAAAATACCAATGAAGATCACTAAACCAAATAACAAAGGTAATAGTACATCTGTTATGGTATCAAAACAAAGTTTACTAACTTGATCATCGTTCGTCAGTCTGGGGTCATTTTTCGTTGTCAAGTTGGTCATTTGGTAAAGATAACAAAATCAAAATCAAGTGTAGATTGTTGGATTTGATCAGTGTTTAAAATTATAAAGGCAGTGTGTGTTTACATAGTGAACTTGCATATCACATTCGTGTTGATTTTGTCACTTCATGGGGGAGGGAGGTGTTGTAACCAGGTCAGATTCTGTTTTAGTCCATCATTCCTATTCAGGCAATTTGGATTCCACTTGATATGAAGTGCTTCTGATATTAGACGTTCTTTATGATTTCTGAAGTTTTTCTGGATTATTTCAATATTGTCAAAATCAATTTTGTGACCTGATTCTATAGCGTGTAGACCTATGGCTGATGATTTTTCAAGTTTTTCTAGTTCAATTGGATTTCTCGGTGGTCGAACAGATGCTCTACGGTGTTCATTTCTTCTGATTTTGATTTCTCGTGATGTTTGTCCGATGTATATCGCATCACATTCCAAGCATTTTATTTTATAGACACAATTAGATAGAGAATCTTTAGGGATCTGGTCTTTTATATGGACAAGGTTGTTTCGTAATGTGTCTGATGTTTTAAAGAAAACTCTTTGTTATATATATGCTGAGATTTTGTAAATTCCGGTTTTATAATACTTTGATAAAGCTATTAGCATTAAATAGCGAAACGTCAGTAAAAACAATGTCGTTTTGTTGGATATTTTGTTCCAATTAATCAAAAATTTACCGAATCACTTTATAATACGGTAATATTTGTAGTAATTCGTCGTGGTTAACATCACCAGGCCATTTAAACGTTGCACATTAGATAAGATTAGTTGACATACAAATAAGTTAGTTTGTGATTGGCCTTCTAGCCTATAACAATCTTGTTTATTTAGAGGTCTTTGGAATGAATGATCATATGTGTCATTTAAAAAAAATTAAATTTTATCGCTGTGGTGGAGTGTAGTTCCATAACGAGATAGGTTTTTATAAATGGAATTTGGTACTGATAAGTGGGTGAGGTTTTGAGCATAACTTACTGATTGTATTATTGTCACTGATGACAACAATAGAACTGTATAGCTAAGACTGCATGCATAAGAAATCGACTTGTCCCTAACCGTCTTCTCACACATAATTCAGTTACAATGGACGAGATAAATTCAAGTGTAAAACCAGTTATCATTCTGTAACTTAAATGAATAGCCCACAAAAAACTATAAGTAGTAAAGACTGTGAAATTGTGGTTAAAATGTCCAACAAAGCAAAATCAGCTTCTCTCAATGAATCCAGAAATGTTTGAATTTAGAAGTTCTATAATCAATCCCATAAGAGAAAAATATTCTTTTTGAAAAAGAAGAAATCACTAATAAGAAATCCTCATCCGTCAACTGAAAGAAGTGAGTGATCAGTATCCCAGTAAAAACATCAAGCTTGAGTAAAAAACTGCTGAAAAACCAACTTAGCTTAAATTCTTCACTTGACAAGTTGACACATGATCTATGTAATTTCTAACATAGAAGTAATGTTAATAACTATAAATAAGACAACAGCTTAACATAGAAGATCATGTACATTATCACTGAAACATTCGGAATATTCGAGGAGAATCTAAGGAACCACAAGTGTGTGGTAATTATCAGATTTGAGAAAAGCAAATCAACTGTAGAGAACAAATCGACACATAGCAAGAAGTTCAGTTAACATAAAAGTAGGTCCTTATGATTTGCGTATTTTCTTTAGCTTTCATTCCTTTGCGTTCCGAATGAAACACAAAGCCTCAAGTTTCAGTTTTGAAGTTTCTGTAGCATTAGTGTTTTCTAAGAAGTGCAGTTGCTAATCTCTTTACTGGGCTTGCTATTAGCCTAAACGAGATTAATAAATGAGTCGGCTGGGGATAGGACCTCTGACCACTTGCGTGGTTGACGAAAATTCCACCGCTGAGCCACTGATTTACAAAGAGAGTAAGAAACCTGTAAATATTGTAATGAATAAGATGAGAAATGTTACCCCTGATATAATATACCGTATGGATAACTTTTCCCACCGGTCAAAACAGGTCTTCAATACATTACCAAACTTAACACAGAATAAACAAATACATTAATTAAGAAATAATTATGACTCACATAGCCTTCAGGATGTACTTTTATGTAGAAATTCTTCCGTTTAAAACTTAATTTTCTTATTCTGGCCCATGAAAACATATTTGTTTTAACACCGCCTTGATAAACACATATCCCTGAGTGAATGACAGTCAAGTTCACATTTAATCCAATATTATCCTAAAATTGGAGATGAAAACAATTCAAGGAAAACGATTAAGAAAATAATCTACCGAAGCATCATAAAGCATCAACAAAATCTGAATCATGAAAGATAAACATTGAATATTCGGATGAATAATTTCGATAAAATGTCATATTCATACTGAACAAATTGATTTTTTTTTCAACGTCAGTAGCACAGTGAAATGTCAGTAGTAAGGAATGTGAGGCATCTGAAGATTTGTAAGAGAAAAAAGAATGACATAAGGAAGCACATGACGTAATACACATGTATGTATATATACATATATAATTTTGGCGCATAGTTTCACCTGCTAGCTGCATTCAAAAAAATGAATAAGACTGTGAAAGGTTACTGACACTGACTTATTAATAGGTGCATTCAATAATGCGAAAGGAATTCACGGCATCTATGATGATATGCAATGCATACTTCGTAGTATACCTAATCTACGTATGGCGAAACTTTATCACGCTATTCACTAAGTGCAGATTTAAAATATCCAACATCTGACTTTCTGCAGTGTTGTTCATTAGATAAAATGTCTTCAGAAACAAATTATGCACAAATTTATTTTTAAAGTGGATTTTAATATTTCTAAGCTGATTCAAGTATTTGTCGCTTATCTGATATTAAAACTGACATATTTTAGTAACTCAAATGAGTATGAAATAATCATACGTGCATATCATCTACTTAATGATGTATATGTATATATACGGCACTAATGTTAGGTCGTTGATAACTGGACCTAGGCGTCGTTCTCAATGGAACTCATCAGCAAGGCGCATCTCCAACCGTCGTGAAACTAATGTTCCCACTGTGATTGCAAACCACGAAACACATAGGTATAAGACATCCTGACTGCAACCATCCAACACTGTTTAAAAAAGTGAGCTAGGATGGTTACTTTTCGACAGCAGTGAGTATACTAAAAATTGACTGATAGAATTTAGTCAATATCACTAAAGACTAGACACATACTTACTGTATGTCAGCCAGTCATTATAATGGACATTAAATTTAACCCACAACTATTAGCCATGGCATGAAAAAAGGTCTTATCACTAAGTTTTTCATCTTTTGTTGCGATCTCTAGATAGATCCTTCGCTGAAAAATACTGTTGATAGTGATACCATAGTTCTCAGAGAATTTAACTTCTAACTTTTTTAAACTTCGCTTTCTGCTTTTATTAGTAATTACATTTTCCATATCTCAGTTTTTGGCCTAGCGTCAACTTTACTAAATGAGTGATGAATTAATTCGATTGAAATGATTCCGAGGAAATGACTTAAAGTCACCGTCAAACAAGTGGTCAATAACATATTTCTATAACTTTTATGATCCTCATTAGTTTTACATTTAGGAGGGAAGATATGCAGTAAGTTGTACAAGGCTAATGGAGACATCAGGTAAGTGATAAAAATTGGTAAACATTGGTGTTTATTTATTTTCCCAAGTAAGTTAAACACATGATAGATAATGAAAAGTTTTAATTGCTTAGCTAGAACACAGTGGTCCTAGTTAGTGGAACATTATCAAATTAATATATCTGAAGGTTATATTAAAATGTCTGTTGTCTGGCGACGCCTTATTTTCACTAATGTAAAATTATGAACATCACTCAGTGGAAATCTAGAAATCCCATTGGATCGGGTCCATGAATTCCAACTTCTGCCAATGCACGACATAGCGTAACCACTAACCAGTATCTTCGGCGTCTATTTGACCTCACACCCGACCTGCTGTACTTCACTGGTCATGATTTCTCACTAGAACCCAGGTAACTACTTACTTGAATAGGGTCAGTCACTAGTGAGCATTAGATTGATATTCAAGTGGTGGTTTGCAGGGATTTGAATGGTTTAAGGATTTCATCATGAACTAGGACGAAACAGCTGTCCAGTACTCCCTGTTGGTTTTCTAATGGTTCCCTAACGGATGTCAATTCATGATGAAATCCTGAAGCCAATCAAATCCCTGCACACCAACACTTGAATTTTACTGGTTAATTGGCTGCCACTTTGGTGAAATTTATCCTCTGATGCTGATCTTAAATTTACCCTATTTTATCACTTTCGATTACTTAAACTATGCCTTTTGACACAGTCTATTTCATTGTTTATCAGTCACTTCTTTTCGTCTTCTCTTATCATAATCATTTTATTCACTCCTTGTAAACCATATTTGAGACTGATATAAAATTAACTATAAGCAATGAATACTACGGACTGTAAATTCGATAGTGCAAATCATAAATAAACATATATGACAAGTTAGTGAAACGGAGTCTGCAGTTAGCAGTAATCAGTAAAATGGGGTAGAAATAAAGACTGAAATTCTTTCTAAGTGAAATAGAGAACTGAACAGTAGTACAAATATTTACTTAGTATCGATAAAGCGTAGTGGAAGAAAGTGCTTGCTTCATATTCATTTTAGTAAGTAAATAAAATATTTTAAATGAATTATTTCTAGACACAAAAGGTCTATAAAAGCAAAAGTTGAAGAGGCTTGTAGACATTTTATAATTTCTGGCGTTGAACAAGTAAGGACTTTATCTAATGAATCTTAGAATAATTGCTCTCGAAACAGTTTACAGATAGATTAACTATTTATGGTAAGCTGAAAATAGTGGCATTTCTGTTTTGAAGCATCTTGGCTACTGAATATTGTTTTCCTCAGATATCTAGCATTATCAGATAGTATTACTTTCTAGACGAGCCCATGAAAGATTACCTGCATGGTTGTTGAAAGAGGAATGCAAAGCAATAAACAGATAAATTCTGAAGCAAATTATTACATCTAGTCACGCATCATTGGCTGACATTACAAAAAGAGACATATTCGGGATACGATCAAGCTACCGAAAAGGATTTCGTCCACTTCTTCATGAAGCTAAAGCCTTGACAGTCCATTTAGAAAATCCTGAACTTTTTGTTAAGCTTTTTATCCAGCCTCTTTTACTACTGTGGCTTTAGTATCAATTTTGTTTTCCCAAATTGTTGTAAAACACACTCTATTCAGTCTTTTTCTTTTCTTTTTGTAAATCATTTGTAGTCCTTTGTTCTTTTGATTCTTATCAGTTATTTCCAAAGGATTATTCGTTACTTAAGTAATCAGTTGTCAGCACTTTTAATTATGTAGGAATATTCATGATTATCCATGCACTGTTATTTCTGATAAACCCAGATTTATTTTGTTCCTAGATTACAATAACGGATGATCTTTGTTGTCAGTTAACACTGTATATACAAACCTCTTAAATAACTCTACAGCTTTGAAGTGAGGTTATAAAAAGAGATCTGTTTGATGACATCACACGGAAAATCTTTGTAACTTGTAGATTGGTGTTTCATTTAAACCTTCTTTGTAAATCGAAGTGATTTATCGTTTCAAATGATAACAAACACTATAGGATTATATGGTAATTATATAGAATGATCCGGGGTTCGATCCCCGACCGACGCACTCCTTTACCTCGCTAAGCCAGAAATGATGCTGGTAAAGAGGAAAGGTTGGGCATGAGGCTAGCAATCCCATCCTGTAAAAATTAAACACTGCTAAAGAAACTTCAAGCCACTAGCTTGAAGCCCTATGTTCCACTGGGGAAAGTGAAGGAAAAAAAATATAGAATGATTATATACAGGTGGACTTTCACAAACCGAATAAATACTGTTCTGAGAATAAATAAATACTGAGATTTCGTGACCAGTAGGGTGCAGCAGATCGGATGTGAGGACAAATATACGCCGAAGACATTGGCTAGCTGTGGCGCTATATCGTGAATTGGCAGAAATTAGAATTCATGGGCTGTTGAATCGAGTCCCAGTGGCTTAATGGTCTACGAGCTAGCCCACCATGTTACCAGAAGGTCCTGGGTTTGAACCGTGGTGGCAGATGCGTACTGTGGTAAAGCCCCAAACTAGTCTGACGAAACAGCTGTTCAGTACTCCTAGGTTTTCCAATGGTTCTCTAACCGATATCAGCCCTTGATGAAATCTTGTGACCAATCAAATCCTTACAAACCAACACTTGAATAGTGTTCTTGTTCTCATCGTAGAATCTCTAAAACTCTTAATAGAGATTCTTAAAACCTAGAGTAATTAATATTTATACTGATCCAGTTTAAGGTTAAACAAAAACTAACAAAAATTAATATTTCCAAGAAATTTAAGTAGACACTTTGTTTAACTATCAGTGTGTTCATTATTAACAAACTACATTCTACCAAGATATTCATGAGTAATGTAGATACATGTGCTTTCATATATCATCAGTAAGACAAGTAAGTGGAATTAGTGGATCAATGAGTGATGTGACTACTGTCATAAGTGCTAGTTTTACAGCACTATATCTGAAATGAAAAGTACGCCAAGTCAACTTTTATTTCTTTTATACCTCTACATATATAATATGTCCATATCATTTCAATTAGGTACACTAAAAATGCTCATAGTAAGAAGAAAAACAAAGTCAAAAATACAAGTAACTCTAAAGGTTGTATTGGTGAAACTTAGAACAGTCAGATTCAAATATAACTGCAAAGTAAATACCTAAAGAGTGCGTCAGTAGTTCTACAGTTCTATATGAGGTTAGTAACCTCACCTCGCAAAAGAAACAATACTGCTACTGAGACTTCAGAGTTCAAGCTTGAAGCCCTGTGTTTCGTTGGGAAAGTAAACGAATAAAAAAACACCTAACTAACAGAATTTATTTTCTGATGAATTGGTGAGATTATGTCGGCAACAATTTTATCATAAAATATTTCATGTGCTGTAATAAATACAAATAATTGAATAGTTGGAGATGCAGTAATACATTTTATTCTTCAGCATTATAAAGTTGTCAGTGTCTGAAAAAGTCAGTCACACGTTAGCACTTACTTATGTGAAGGTATGAAAATCAATAAAAATAAACTAGTTTATTAAACATTTAAAATTTTCGTCTTGTCTGTTTTACTGAACTGAAATGATCGATATTTAAATAGAATTCTAG